AGTTTTTTTCAATTTTATTAATAAAAAAAAAAGCCTTGGTGGTTTGAAGTTGGACGATTTTTTTGATGTCTTTAGATAACCTGCACCATATAGCGAAGCGTATAATTTTCTGTAGGAATTTTTTTTGTTTAAACATCCTTATTGCCTTTTTCAGTTTTTATTTTAGAAGGTCCTATATTTCGGGGGTGATATCTTTCCAGACTTTACTATTATGGTAATATATGCGGATTTTTTAACCGTTATTTTGAAAAATTTGTAATATATAGTAACACCTAAAATTACTATGTGCGGATTGTATATAGTAAATAATCGAAGATTTATTTAAACTTTAAAACATAAAGGCTCGATAACCAAGCAAGCTGTTGGAATAATCCATCCGCGATTGTATTCGCAGATGCTCAATCAAGGGCCTGTCAGAGAGTTTTTTTCATTTATATTAATAAAAAAAACTTTTTGTAAAGGTTCAAAGTTATCAATTTTATTGATTTTACTATAAACAATGGAAATTTATTTAAATTTTAAAACGTAAATCAGGCAAGCTGTTGGAATAATCCATCCGCTATTGTATTCGCAGATGCTCAACCAAGGGTCTGTCAGAGAGTTTTTTTCATTTATATTAGTAAAAAAACTTTTTGTTCAAAGTTATCAATTTTATTGATTTTACTATAAACAATGGAAATTTATTTAAACTTTAAAATGTAAAGGCTCTATAACTAAGCAAGCTGTTGGGATAATCCTTCCGATATTGTATTTGCAGATGCTCAATCAAGGGTCTATTAGAGAGTTTTTTTTATTTATATTAGTAAAAAAAAATTTTGTAAAGGTTCAAAGTTATCAATTTTCTATTAACATTTGCTTTGACGATCCTTCCCTTTTAAGGAAATGGAAAAATGCTTTTGAAAAGATTTATTTCAAATTATTCTTTGTCGTGAAAAACCCCAATATATTATGCTATGTCGTGTGTCGTGTAACTTTATTATATATAAGCAGATCTATTTTATTTATATTGGGACCCATTCAGATAAATGAAATCGAACGTGTACTGTACTTTTTTGCTCCACCAATCAAATGGGTAATATTTAAAACCGAAGAATTTTCCTCCATTTTTTCTTGTATCACCAAAATAACAAATACATATATATTAATTATTAATATACCGTAAAGTCTGGAAAGATAGCACTCCCCGAAAGATAGCACCCCTACTTTAAAACAATTGAGCGTCAATATAAAAAAAATGTTACACATATGTAAAAAGGGGATGCTATCTTTCCAGACTTTACGATATTTAAGACCCATCTAAATTTACTAAATTTAAAATAAGTAGAATAAAAAAAATATGTATAATAATAATAATAATAATTCGAAAACGAAAATTTTTTTTTAAAAAAATAATTATAATCATCAATAAATAAATTCAATAAAATAAATTCATAACCAATATATAATAAAAACTAAATTCATAATCAAACATATAAAAAATGGATCAAAATTATTCTGATAATATTAATAATAATATTGGTATTAATGATATTGGTATTAATGATGTTGGTGTTAATAATCAAGACTTTGTTACTAATGATTACAACAATTACGACAATCAAACCACCGGCTACTACATTCATCAAAACCCTGGAGACAATAATTTCAGCCGCCAAAACCATGAAGACAACAATTACATTCATCAAAGCCCTGGAGACAATAATTACATTCATCAAAACCCTGGAGACAATAATTACATTCATCAAAACTCTGGAGACAATAATTACATTCATCAAAACTCTGGCGGCGGTAATTTAATTCATCAAATTAATTTTTCCAATCAAATCCCAGGCATTAGTTTCGTTGGCCAAAGCTTCACAACCAATAATAATAACAACGATATTGTTGACCAGAATCCATTTATTACTACAAACATTGATTATCCAAATGGTTGTTTTGACAATAATTTTGATCAAAGTGTTCATCAAAGTTCTATTATCGCGAATAATTTCAATCAAAACAATGATCAACTGCCATTACTTCTTTACATATTATCTCAACAACTTCAAATTATTCAAGATTTTTTATTTAACAATAACAATAATAGATATTAAATATTAATTTTAATACGATAGTTTATTATCGCCGATAGTAATAACAATTATAATATCAGTTATTTAGTTTTATCTTTTCATGTTTTTTTTGTAAATCCAGTTGGACATATAATCAATAATAAACAAAATTTTTATGTGTTTAACCGAAAAGTGTATATAATCTAGTGTTATGTGATAATTATTAATATTAAATGGTTTAATAACGCAGTGTTAATTGAAACAATAATTCAAATGATTCGTCTTCAAATTTGTTATTCATCAATTTTCTGTATTTTCACATAACAATTATTCATGTTAATCTAACTATGGGATATTAAAAATTTGTCAAGAACGTTTATATATAGTAAATCTTTAAAATAAGTCAATTAATTTTGTTCGATGCTCACCATAAATAGGAAGTTTTTTAAATAAAAAAATCAGCTTTATTGGTAGTTCATTTTTGTTAAACCTCCGAACTTTGTGAATGTCCCATTATTAAAAATAATATCTGGATTTATGACGTAAAGATTAATATTTGATAATAAAGAATTCCATGTTCATTCTATGCACGTTGTCTCTTTTTCAAAACTTTATTGCCTAATGCAAAATAAGGAAATGTTCCAAGATAGAAAA